GTTGAAATGATGTTAACGCCACAACACGGCAAGTCTCCGTTAACGAGCTACCGCAGATCGCCCCGTGTGTGGGGCTGGACGGTGTCAACACATTAAGGAGCTAACTGCGCTAACGCACTAGTTCCCACCAATGTAATTGAGATTTGCGTGGCACATCCAACATACTGTTTTACTTTTGTCCATGATGCGCTTACCATCAGGGTCATACATCACATGAAAACCAAAATAATTCCAAACGGCAGATCTGAATGAGGGTGGGGGAGGTTCAATTTGCCATGTTGCAAGGAGAGCTTAACTTGTGTCTCGCTAGCTTGCCCTGCGCTCAGTGAATCTGCGTTCGACTACTCCGCCTAGGCTGCACTGTCGAGCGCAGATCCCCTCAGCGCTCAACACAGACAGCATTGTCAGAGGGAAAGTTGATAACATAAATTAAAAATTTTGTGTTGTTCGATACATATGCGTACCGAACCGAAAGTACTGTATCGAACGGTTCAATATCGATACGAGTATTGTTGCACCCCTACTAAATATAACACAGCTTCATATTCGTTTTAAAATACAGAAAACAAGCAAACTTTCACCTGTTGGTAATTTTTGAACTTGGGATTGAAACCTGAACATAAATTAAGCTTAGATGATGATGATGCCGTTTGACTCTTTAGAACAAAAGAGGACTTACCAAATGACTCGTTGACAGGCAGGTAGGCCTTGATGACATACATAGGTGTTCCCATGACCCTGGATTCCTCGAACACATGACCACGCCTCCTGGTCAGCACACCGTAAATCCCACCCATTGCACCTTCAGGGCACTGTGGAGCAAACAGATGGTGAGTGGTGTTTAATGCTATTAAAGTGAGCTGCGATAATAATTCTACTAAATACTTGATAAGAGTAAAATCAGCGTTACTAAACTCCGTAGTGCATTGAAAGGTGTGGTAAACTCGTTCAACAAGATTTAGAATTAAAGAGATTTACAAGGTTTAGCTGGCAGCAACCGTCAGCCCTGCAACTCAACCATTTAAACTGTATTATTAGAGACTCTGCTTTAGTCAAAGTTGGGTACTTATTAAGCAATGAAATACTTCATCTCAGCTAATTTGATTCACTGAACCAGAATACCAAACTTTTTTTTAACCTTCTGGCTCCCTTTTAAACGTAGCAGTCTATCAAAGTGTTAACTGCACCAACACCGAAATCCAAGTATTCCGTACTTCACTTTTAATGACTTTAATAACTGTAGTATTTTTTTTATTTTTCTGTCCTGTACAATCCACCTATTGACACAAGCTTTGGATATAACTTTCCCTGTGCCATTTTCCACGAGCTACGAATTGGAAAGTAAAACATCACAGGGGAAAAACACTGACCTGGATCTCGACAAGGTAGACGGGCTCCATAATTCTGGGCTCAGCTGTGAGCTCACAAGCATACAGAGCTCTGCGGGCTGTGGGGATAATCTGGCCACCACCACGGTGAATAGCATCTGTATGCAGGGTCACATCATGGATGTCGAAGCGAATGGCACGCATGTTCTCTTCACAGAGGACACCCTGAAAACATTCAAACACCACTTTTAAACAAATATCCATGAATCACTGGATAGAACGTTTTTAAAATGCTTATATTACACTCAAGAGTATACTCTCAATGCTATTACCTCCTTGGCAGCCCACTGGAAACCAGCGACAACACTGTCCTTGATCTCATTGAGGTACTGCACTCCCTTGGTAACGTCCACCAGCAGGTTGGGGCCAGTTCCATCAGGACCGAAGCACCAGATTTTTCTGGCCTCGCCGACGTCCCATTCGTACTTGTCAGCAAGGTAACGGGCACGGCCCTTGAGCTCCTGACGAGAGGTAACGTCACCCTTCTCAATGTCTTCTGCCAGGCCTTCCTCGAAGGGACGGGCTTTCATGAACAGACGGTTGTGCTTGTTGGGTGACTTTGACAGACACATGATATCTGACTCTGCACTGACTGTCTCTCTGTAGGACACCACAGGATCAGATTTCTGGAAAAAAGTGTTAATGCACAAATGTTTAGAGGGACATATCAAAATAACGCCTAAATATCTCATCTGTCGTATAAACCTTAAGATTAAGTGCAGTGCTCTTTTACTTAAATTCAATATATTACTTTGATTGGAATGCAGGCATGATCCTCCTCCAGATCCTTCAGACAGATCTCCAAGTGCAGCTCTCCAGCTCCAGCAACAATGTGCTCTCCAGACTCCTCAATGATGCACTGCACCATAGGATCAGACTTTGACAGACGCTTCAAACCCTCCACCAGCTTAGGTAGGTCAGCGGGATTTTTGGCCTCCACAGCAACTCTGACAACGGGGCTGACACTGAACTTCATCACTCTCATGTTGTGTGCCTGGTCGTAGGTGGTGATGGTGCCTGTCTTGACGAGGAACTGGTCCACTCCAACCAGACCCACAATGTTACCACAAGGCACATCTTCAATGGGCTCAACGTAACGGCCCATCATCAGAATGGTCCTGGTAGAGAACAGAGCAGGACAAATCAGTTCTGGCCTACCTCCCTCACAAATTTATTGCCAATAATTAATTAAGAAGATGCTGAAACCAACCTCTGAATTGGCTTCAAGTAGAGGTCGTCCTTCTTGCCAGGGACGAAGTTTGGTCCCATGATGCGTACCTTCAGGCCAGTGGACACAGACCCAGAGAACACACGACCAAATGCATAGAAGCGACCCTTGTCACTGGTGGGGACCATCTTTGAGATGTACATCATCAGGGGAGCCTTGGGGTCGCAGTTCTTGATACCTAATGACCATTAACACGCAAAGCAATGTCAAGCTTAAAAATAATAATCCAACGACTAAAATTCTGGGTCATTTTAAGCAGGTGTTTCAAACAATGTCAACTGCTTGGTGCATGAGCAAATTTGAAATACATCAGCTGCATACCCATGGCAGCCTCGTCATCTCCAGGTCCTTCATAGAGGAGCTCACAACGGTACTTCTGGGCAGTGACAGGTGAAGGCAGGTGAATGGTGATCATTTGCAGAAGGGCTTCTCCAGCGGGCAGCCAGCGGCGCATGACAGCCTTCAGGAGAGGCTTGCCCTCCTTATCCTTGTCCTCATTATCCAACTTGATGTCCATCTTCTGGATTAGTTTGGCAGCTTCATCCTTTCTGAAGTTCATGATGGCATCAAACACCTAGAGGGAAACCATTTATATTAGTTCAGTGCAATTTATTATGAACATGCTAGGACGTTAATAAAGCATCTGCGCCTGCTCAGGCTTAAGGTTGTCATCACTGATTAGTCAGGTCAAAGTGAAGAATGTTTGAGTCATCACATGCAGGCATACAAGGCAACTTTTATTCTGACTAAGGCAGACTAACAAGTACATAAGGTCGGACCGCCAATGTTGCCATTTCTTCTTCCAGTTAACCCTTTTTAAATACTTAAACATTATCAAAGGTTTCATACCTTAAAGATGGGATCCAGAACAAGAGCACAGAAGGTGCGGGGGTACTTTTTGCCATCGGCTCCAATTGCGGACTTGACGAACTTTCCATTTGCCGTGTCATAGTACCTAGAAAAGAAAAAGTGTAATTAATCATTACAGATACACTAAAAACATTTATATAACAGAAGCCGCTGTTAATTTACTTTATTAAATTAGAATGTATAAAAGCAAAAAAAAAACCCCACCCTGTGCAATTTCCCATCATAACCTTATGCTCAGAATCACACTTTAAACTCTGCACAATTCCCTCTGAAATGGTCTCTTTAAGAGAGCCCCCATGCACTCAATCTGACATCTCGACAGCCCTCAACACTACAGCTGAGGTTCTATGTATTAGAAACGCACCTATCACCCCACAGCTTCTTCATCATGTCTTCCACCTTCTTGCAGCGCTCAACGGGTGTCATCTGGGCGTTGCCCTTGGCAGCAAACTTGGCTGCATACATCTCAGCAAACTGCTTGAGGGTGAAAGCCCAGCCATGGAGTCCGGAGCCAAAGCCAACGGTGCCGAGGACTGGATCAACCTTGAAAGTGAGACAACAGTATATCATCAACTGTGCTGAGTACTCAGACAAACAGACAAATCTTTGTTCCAATTAAAACGTTCAGACTGCTACGCACCATGATGTTACCCATAGGTCCATTTTCATCCTCGCCATAGGTGGAAATGATTACGTTGACAGACTCAACAATACGCTGGAAGGTCTGATAAAGGTCTTCAGGTTCAAGCTGCAGCTCCAGCAAGGCACGGTCCATCTTGTTCATCATCAGGACTGGCTTAATACGCTCGCCAATAGCCTGACGGAGCACAGTCTCAGTCTGCACACAGACGCCTAGTAGGGACACATAACACGACAACTAATTGAAGAGCATGTAAAGTTATAAATCTTATTTCAGATAAGCAAAAAAAGTATCAAGGACTGTGCTGGCACAAGTCTTCCTTTGGTGTGTGAGCATATTCTTAATGCATGGAAACAATTTACTCTCAGTTCTTTAGTCATGTTGACTGTAAACTTGTCCTGAAACCCAATGCCAATACTCATCTCTCCTAACCAATCTAAACACAAACACTAAAGCAGGTCACTATTAAATAGCTGGGCTACAGCTAAAAAAAAAATAAAATCTTGCAGTTCTACTACACCTAGTATCTTATTTTTTGTGGTCTTGGAACTGGCAGGTGAAAATGTTAAAAGCCCACAAATATTTGGTTTGGCTCTTACCAGACACGCAGTCCACCACAACCAGGGCTCCATCAGTGACACGGAGAGCAGCAGTCACTTCAGAGGAGAAGTCAACGTGCCCTGGTGAATCGATCAAGTTGATCAAGAAACCAGAGCCATCCTTGGACTGCTTAATGAAGGCAGTGTCATTTTCACTCAGCTCGTAGTACAGGGAGATAGCTCTGCAAGTTAAGACAAAACATTTAATTTTACTACAAATTCTGTGCTCAACATAGCCCAACATACCACATAATGACCAAATACTACAATACACTGTAAAGGGATTAAGAAAATTGAGCTCTATATGAAACTGATATGAGATTCTTTAATCCCAGCACATTTGTTGTCTTAAATTTAAAAATCTCACATCAATTAAAATGCAAAAAAAATAAATAAAATCCTTACGTTGACTTGATGGTAATGCAGCGCTCCTGCTCATCTTTGCGAGTGTCTGTGAAACGGGTCTCTCCAGCACGAGCTGAGGCAATGATGCCAGCCTTTGACACCAGGGAATCTGTCAAAGTTGACTTTCCATGGTCCACGTGCGCAATCACGGACATGTTACGGATGTTGGCCTTCTTGTCCATGATGGCACGGATCTGGTCTACGGTGAAGTTCACCTGAAGGGACAGAGTCAAGATTAGACCATTTAACACATGTCTGATTTTCTTGGCCCTAAGCTTTAAAATAAAAAAAATTAAGAAAGTGAGTTTAAAATACAATGTTGTGATTATTTTGATTCTCCTGTTAAGTGCAGATGAGGTTAAAGGCATCATTTGTGACACCAACTAATGTGGGACAAGATACTAAAGACGGGATAACGGTAAAAGTGCACCCCCTTTATGTCCGTCATTCTAAACAACAGGCTCTGTGGCTCACGCTTTGTGTAATTCTGCTTGGTATACATGGATCGTTCATTTGCTACATCTAACAATAACTGCGCCCTCAGCCCTGTAAAAATGTTGCTTACATAAGGTAAACTCAGCTGTGCTGCACTTCCACCCTGGGCGTTGGGTGTCCGCCATCATCAAAGATGACGTTACTGTTGTCTACGTTTGGCTTAAAAAAGTATCCAAGTCGTCTGCCCCGGGTTTTATCCCAATATCGATTTGAAACAATCATATTTAAAAAAGTATCACCTTACTTAAAAATACGTTGGCAAAAGGCTGTTAAAACACAAACACCCGGCATAACGTCGGCGTGAGCAGGCCACGTGTACAGACTTTGAATCCATGCTAAATGCTAACACTGACAGCGCCGACGTACCGGCAAATTATTCCTACAGATCAGAACGAGGTCAAGCTCACTTTTTAACCATTTGGCTTGACCCATTACGTTTTCAATTTTCAAAAGCCTACTCATATCTTGGTTCTGTGACATTTGTATGGCCATAAGTGACAATTTACTGGAACGACGGCTAACGATGCCGCAAAACGCAGTCGTTGTAAAGTTAGCTACATTAGCGGTTACAATTTATCATTTTAACCTTTAAAAGAGTCGGGAGATAAACGTTAATCCTTCCACGGAGGCACTAACGTAGGCAAATAGATATGTATGATTTAACAACATTTTCAAACTGCCTTTAGTCAGCCTTCGCGGGCCTTGCAGGCCACCGGCAGATAACAAAATGGTTGCCATTTTGATCAGAGCACAGACCACACACTATTATGCAAGTAACAATGCATCCTTACAATATTCACATACTCAACTTAATATTGACAGCGAGGAAAGCTTATGTGCCCAACAATTCATTACTCAGTTTAAAAAATAACAGCAACTCACCATTTTGACAGATGGTTTTGGATTCTCTTGGTGGAGAAAAGAGACAAGGAATTTTACACTGCCCACCTCACGAGGGCATAGGCAGGGAAGAGGGCGCTGACGTCAGAAAATAGCGCTTTATACTGCTTGCGTCAGTCACATGCGTCATCACGTAATGGTGCATTCGATAAGTTGAATCGGACACTCGAACTTTCGTTCCATGGACAAAATAAAGGAAAACGTGGCTTAATTTCCAGCTGCTTCCGGGTGCTTTCATGCGATTTATATGTTATCACGATAGTTTACACTTGGCGACAAAGGAAACACAGGACTGTCCAGTGTAACCATGCTCTAAACACAAACAAAAACACATCTAGAGATTTCGTCTTGTGGTGTAGCTCGATAACGGTAAAATATTTGCCTCTTTCACTAACAAGGTCAGCAGGAAAATAAAGTGAGTACCAGTCATACAAATACTAAATTTAGATATGTTAACAGGTAAAAATAAACAAATTAGGATAATCAACAATAAAAACAACACTGTTAAAAGTAAAAGTACCACAGGTCTCCAGTGTAGTCCTTACAATATGAAATACAACAGTGATAAAAATAAAGAAATAAAACATGAAGTTAGGTTAAAGAAATAATAAAGGGCAGCTATTGTGCAAAACAGCATCCCAAATGGCACTGGTAAAAAGTATACTCTAAAGACAGAGTTTTTAGAAATTATAGCTGAAGATAATCCTCTTAAAGGCAGAACAACATTTCCCAGAAAGGAGACAGTTAATACTATATCCTGTCTTTATCATTTTAACATAGAACATACTCTCGGTAAACTAATTTAAATGATGATTTATAATCTTTTGTCAATTATGGTTGATTGCCTTTGTGAATGGCTGGATGGTTAATTATTTCTTTTCCTCTAAAAAAAAGATGGTCCATTAGCTCAGCATTATTTTCTTGGCTGCCACCGAGATCCCCCCATTTTCCCGAGTTTAAACTTAAGAACCTTCTTAAGAACTTCATTCGAAATTATGAAATCCGACTTTCCAGCTGTCTTCGAATGCAGCAAAATGTTACCCAATGTCAGTTAGAGACTGAGTAGTTTGTTTTGGGGATTCATTAAACCAGTTTTTGTTTTAAACATTTTTTTGATGCAAACATATAAAAATGATAACTGTGAAGTGGGTCACTGAGGTGTCTCAGTCTGTCAAATATTACGGTCGTTCTTAAAATGGTACATTTTCTCACTTGTTATGTTGTTTTAATATTTCTGTTATGAATACAATATAAATCATTGCATTTACTCAGAGTCACAGCTGTTTTGGGAAGGTGTTGAACAGCTACCTGCTACCTTTATGCTACCTTTATGTGTTTTATCGAAGCCAGTTCCAGGTTTCAGTGTGAGCACAGTGGAGCAGCCGTATGTCTAAGGATATACATACAGTATTACTATTGTCATAAGTTTGTTTTCATTGAATATAAGAATCCTGATTACATTTGAATGGTATTTTCACACAGAATGTGTACGAACCTTGGGCTTAGAAAAGTGGCAGTGGACAGATTATGGGGCGGCTCACCCTAAAGTACCAGCTGGATGCCCCCTGTGACCACTGCAAACTAGCCCTGAACCTAAAACTATCCCTGAGCAAAGTGTTAGAGTTTTAGTGAGAAAAAATAGGAAAGTAGGAAAAAAATAATAATTAATAACAGAATTAAGACAAACCCCTAAATATAGGGAGGACAATCTCAAACAAGAGGAAACAGCAAGAGTATTATTGGTAACTAACCTGTTGTCTTTCTCTACAGTTTTTGAGTGTTCAAGTTCTAAAACAACATGAAAATTACG